AAGATGCTACACTGCTGGCCTTGAAGATGGAGGAATTGGCCACAAGACAAGGAATGTAGATGGCTTCTAGAAGCTACAAAGGCAAGACAATGGACTCTCCCCTAGAGCCTCCAGAAGGAACACAGCTCTTCCCATACCATGATTTTAGGACTTTCGACCTTCAGAACTGTAAGATAATAAATTTGTGTTGTGTTATGACAGTAAATTTGTAATAATTTGTTACAGCAGCAATAGGGAACTAATACACCCCTTTCTGTGGTTAACTGAGAGTCTCAACCACTGACACATCTGGTTAAAGGTTAGGTGACATTTGACCTTTTCATTGAACCCTACTAAGAGGCTTTATTCCATTGATCATAAAGGCTTCTGGTAAGATAAAATAGCCACTACAGTGACCCCTGCAGCTCTCAGATTCCCAAACTGCCAACCACAGATCCAGAACCACTTGATACCCACCTGGAGGCTCAAGTACCATTTGATCTTCTAAGGAATATCAAAGAGGATCTTTAATTTACTGTATTTTTTTCTTATTACCAAAGTAATATAAACAAAGACATCGGAAAATGCAGATGTGCAAAAAGAAAAAACATCATCAACAACAACAATCACTGATAACCTCACCGAAAGATAACCACTTCTAACACCGTGGTTCTCTTTCCAGGCCTTTTAAAGTAATTTCATACACAATTTGTAATATTAATAATTCTAAAAATATAGACACTACTTTAAAATGTTAATATATCATGACTATATTTCCATGTCAACAATATTCAATAACACTAGTTCTCAAAGTATGATCTGGGGACCCTGGGGATGCCAAGACCTTTTCAGGGGGTTTATGAGCTCAAAACTATTTTTATTTTAATTCCAAGACATTATTTGCCTTTTTCATTCTCCTCTCATTAGTATAGAGTAGTTTCGTAGAGGCTACATAAGACATGCTATTGCAACAGTGCCCGCTGCCTGAGGCACATAGAAGCCAATACTATGGCACCAGGTTTTGAGAAAAGAAAAGGCTTTATTGCGAGGTTGACTGGCAAGGAGACAGGAGGCAAGGCTCTCAAACCTGTCTCTCCAATCCAAGGTTTGGGGCAAAATTTAAGAAGTTAGGGGCTACTCAGCTACAGCTGGGCCCATGTAGGCTGATTGGCTAGTCTCAAATCTGGCCATATACAGTAATCAAGCTACTTGGGCTGCCAGAAGCCAGATTTTCCTTATTGAAGGAAGATTCTTGGTTCCACAGTCATCTTGAGGATATGGGTGCCTGCCTGGCACATGCACAGTGCCATCTCTGTTATTGAGCAAAGTTTGACTCAAATGATCTGTTTTAAGGAAGCATAACTAGCTTAAGCTGGCCAGTGTTTTACGTGCTGTTTCAACAGTTTGAATGCAGAAGCAGATGTGAAAATCCAGCTGCCTTCTATTAAGTTTGACATTAAAGAGAAAAGCACAATGTAAAACAATGCCACTCTTGTCACTAATTTTATTTGGAAAAATATGTATTTTTCATAAAATGTTATTCATATTCCCATATAATAGAGTCTATTATTTTTAAATGAAATAATGAGCAAATATTTCTTAAACTTCTCAGTTTTAATTTTAAAAGTTTTGATAGATGTAGCATACATAAACAAAACCTCTTTGGAGCCCTCAATAATTTTCAAGAGTTTTGGTCCTGAGAGCAAAAAGTTTGAGAATCGTTGAACTACAACGTTATTTTTTAGTAGCTGATTTAGTTCATTGCGCTGGAATATCATCATTCATTTAACCAGTAAGTAATGCCAAGAATAAGATCCTTAAAGTTAAATTTGTGTAGACCCAATTATTTCTTTAGGATAATTTTCAGGGATGATTTTAAAAATGTATACTTATTTGCTTATTGTACAAAAATGGACAACCGTCAATAATGCAATCCACCTCCTGAGCCAATCAACTCTTTGCATTCTTTCCGTTTTCTTCTAATCAACAAAGGGGAATGTAAAGCACTTAAGACTTCTACTAACTTAAGCTTTAGCACTGAGTCACATTTCCAAGGTGAAAGTACCTTGTGGGTCATCTAGCCTAACGGGCTCCAACTTAATCACTCTGGAATACTTTTAAAAAGCAATTCCCAGGGTTGTGGGAAAGAACTGAGTGCAGTTCTCAATCGCCTTTACGCGCTAAGGGTTGGTGGAAGGAACTCATTTTTCTAAAATACAGGCTGAAATGAGTGCTGGTGTCATACATACTTGGGTAGCCCTCTCCTGTGAGGCTGTGGGGGGGCAGCCATTTGTCTAGCTGTCCCTGCTTTCCACAGGGCAGTGAGCTCCTCCTGGCCAGCAACCCCGGGGCCTCCTCCCCTCTGTTTCCAGCGCTTAGCGCCATGCCGGCACTCGCTAAGGGCCCAGCAAATCGTAGTGAACTGCTCAACGAAGTTCTGAAGGCTCTACCCTTGGAGATCCCTATTCCGTAAGTCTGAGGACCCAGAAACGTACTTCTGACGTCGTCACAAGGATTCAAGCGCCCGCTCTACTGGGTACGGCCTAGGCTACTCAAGCACTGGGTGCCTCGGTCTTGCATCCTCATAACCGGGCAGACAACAGCTCTCTCACAGGGTCGCTGCGAGGATGCAGTGACCTCACACACGTCGCGCTCTCAGCTCCGTGACTAGGACGTGATAAGCCTTGAAGCATTGGTAGCTGTTGCAGAGGAGCCCCAGACACCGGGCCTCACCGGAGGGTCGGCCGAGCCGGAGAAGGCTGACAAAAGAGCCGGAGACGCGGGCGGGGCACAGGGCTGAGGAGCAGCGCGCGTGGGCGCCGCCGTGGGTGTGTCTCGGGCCGGGGGTGTGGCCG